AAAATCCAAAAAATCTTCAAATACGTTGACGTATTGACGTAATAATGAAGCATACGGATGATTATCAAATAAGACATTTCAGCATGTTCTATATCCCCAATCTAGCTGAGAACAAACAACTAAAGGATATTTTCAACAATAATACTAGGTTTGCTTACAAAAACAACAACAGCAATTACTATTCAGCAACAATCAAATGAAATCGACTAAATAAACTCCAAAGAAGCAAATTGCAGGAAGAACAGGAAGAAAGACTGTGACTGTATAAGTTGTCACTACTTGTATCTTGGCGCACCAAGGACCAGCTTGGTAATCATTCTTTTATTGTAGTTTTGTTATTTTTGTTTTTATTTGGATTGCAAGTGTCAGGGATTAAACACTTGTTAATTTTTCAAGAATTATATTATATTATTATATTGTACTATTGTGGTATGTATCAAATATCAAATTTTTATTTTTGTTTAGTGCCAAAAACTCTATTTCAAATAGAAAACGGGTTAACAAAGGGTTAAAATTTTCAAATTGAAAAATTTTTTCAGTTTAATCAAGTGAATTAAAAATTGCTGTTTCAAATACCGACAAATATTCAACACCAGTAGTTTTTTGGAAACATTGGTGTGATATATTTGTAATGTCTCATTGATTACTTTTGTAAATAATGTTAACAATTTTTTTATTCTCCATTTATTCATTTGTTCAAGCGATATTTAATCCTTTGGTGGCCCAATTAGCAAGAATAATTAAAATTTCCTATATTTTATTTTTTTATGAAATAGATAGCATTGAGAGGTTTATAATGTTTCATATATATATATTTTCTATAAATAGTTTTCTTAACCTTTTTTTGACAAAAGGATTTACGAATTATGGAGTTATAAATTACTTCCATATCTATTAATATCTCTTGAAATTAAAAAACTTACCTACAAACTCTTAAAAAACCAATTTTAACAATTTTAAAAATCCAACTTTAATCCATCATTGGTTTACACTAAGGTGCTTAGGAAACAAACGGGTTACACATCACAGCTCAATAAATTCAAATAACTTAAGTATGTTGTAAATTAAAGAAATAAAATATTATTTTTATTGGATAATGTAATTTTTCACAAGTTTGTATATAAAAACGTTTTAAACTTTATATACATTTTGGCTTTTGTGATTGTTGTTAAAGTATTTAATATAATTGATAAAAAATCTACATCTGCTACATTGAAGTAACAAGGTGCTTTCAACACGTCCAAGGTGAATTTTAATACTGTCCAACGTATGCTGCCGCTCTATCTATCTATTTTGTCCGCTTCCTATCCCCAACATAATTAAACTACAAATTATTACAGGTTCCCTACATAAGCTACTACACAACAATGTCAATAAAAATACGCACAAACTTCTTCATAATAAATAATATAAAAATGTTTATTAATTCATTTGTTAATATAAAAAAATTTAAATAATAAAAACATATAACAAAAGATTTTAAATATCATTAAAAAAATTTTACACTTTGAAAAATGTTGGGTAAGAATTTATAAATATGTAAATTTTGGAAGATGCGAACACAAATGCTGTACGTTGCAATTTTATATGCGTTTCATTAATTTCATATTAATGAAGGTTTAGAAATAAATATAGTAATATCAATTAAAGTAATATCACTATTTCTCTCAGCTTTTCCATTTTGATACTTTTAAATAATACTAAATTTATTACGAAATAAATAATTCTGGTGAATCTATACTGATGACGCACAGTTTTAAACTTAACACATAATAACACTATAGTTCAAAGTATCACTATTGCAAAATATCGCATCGTAAATCACCTATGTTCACAAACTTATATTCCAGAAATTCTTTATGCTGTAGGAGCTGTAACAAAAGCACCAGCAAATAGTACATTTTTCTTATTCCATATCATATATAGAAAAGGACGATCAGCATTAAATTGTAGTGGTAACAACATACATCGAGTCATCATAATCATACCTTTTAATACATATAAATAATTATTGTTAAGATTAGGCACATAATTTTAAAAAAAATTACCAGTAGCAGCCGCCGCTTCTGTTCCTTCCTCGTTTACTTCGATGAAGGCCTTATGCACCACTTTTGAAACAAATATATTTTCTGGCGATTCGAGCATATTGCTGAACTCAGCATCGTCTGTGAACATTTTAGTAATACCAAACTAAAAAATAGTAGAATTTTAAAATTTTGTATACTCTCTTTTATATACAAGACATTTAAATATTTAAATGAATAATATTTCTTGTATAATTACTCATTTAAAAATTTGCCTTTTATTATTTAAAAAATAATTTAGGAAGTTATATTTGATTTATATCCAAATAATATTCCATTAGAAAATATTTGCAACTCTACAATAATATATAAGATAAAACATTAACTACTAGTTTTAATAACGATTATATAATAATTATTATAATAGAAAAAAAAATTAAATTGTTGAATAAATATATTGTTAGGGTTAAGAAATTCTGAAAAAAATTTCATATAAACATTTTTAGTGTTAAAATTTGTTGTGATACTAATCATAGTAGACGAATCTATTTTAAATAATAATCAATCGAATGTTTAAACGAAAGGGTAATTTTTCTATTTTCAAACCACAGTATCAAAAAAATACATATTCTGTTTTTTTCTGTCTAGATAACAGAATGATATCAAATCCAAAAATAAGCTTCATTATAAAAATTCCGCACAAGAGTATGATAACTGACTAATATTAATTAGTACATGCATTTAATCGATAACACTAAACCAATTAAAAAATTCCTAAAATTTAATCAATTCTATAATAAATTGTACTCACCTTTTTAAGCGCATCAGTTAATTCTACAGAATAGTCCACCTTAAATTTGGGAAAGCTTACTTGTACTTCTTCAGTATTAATTTTGTCAGCTAAATCGATTAAATTAAATCCTTTTAGTTTTTCTGCAAGCGATTTAAGACCCTCTCGTTCGTTAGGTAGCAACACAAGCATTGATAAATCGGAATCCTTATATGGCATTTCAAGAGCAGTGCAATCTAAATCCTCTAAATACCCGTAACCGAATTTGGCCTTTTTCTTCATATACTGTACTTTAACGGACTCCTCTTCACTCGTCCAAAAATCATCTTCTTCAGTTAACTGCTCATCAAATTTATTTTCCCAACTTCCCTTAAAGTGAATTGCATTTAATAGCAATAAACGCGTATTATCATCTAATGAGCTTGGTTCGATTAAATCCGTTATTTTTCCTTCAGTTTTTTCGCTCACCCAAGAATTTATGGTTTCAGCAGCTAGATTGCTTTCTGCAAAATTCAAATTTTCAGCTTCAGCAAGGTAATGTTCTTTGACAGCTGTTTGATACTCTGCCTTCAATTCCGCGCCGTCTCTGAGGTAAAGTTTATTTGCAATTTTTACAAGATCGCTATTCCTGTACTTTTCTAAAACAAATTGAAATGTCTCCGCCACCTCTGGTGGAAAATTGGACACGAGTTTCAAACCATTTGCAATTTCATCTGCCGTTTCACCCTGGGCGCCAGCAAAAGCTAAAGCAACGCATGTTTGGACTGATAGCGGCGAAAATATTATGTTACTTTTAACACCATCGACGGACAACAGTTGGAACAGTTCGCTGGTGAAGCTTGCTCCATTGCGTGCAAATTGCAAATTGAAATCAAACATTTTTAAATCCAATAAATTTCTACAAAACAATACATATTAAATTTTTTCAGGAACACACAAAAAACACGTCCATTACTCACCAGAGCCAAAACAAATTTGCCGAAATTCAGTTGCCGTCACTTAAAATGAAACTACATATAAACATACTTAAAATTAATAACAAATATCTACAGTCGGTCAACTTGGAATTATTGTTTAATGAAGTTAGATGAGAAGAGTAAGTTTATTATGTTATTATGGATTTACCCATTGCATAAAAGTTCTACTTTTGGACTACTTGCCTTGGAAGAAACCTATTTTCGATTTTTACAAACTTGCCTTGTCATATTTATTTCATCACAAACATCTTCCTAAGAAGTATTCTCTACAATACTTTCAAACACAAATAGTCGGAATTACAGCTTGAAAATATTTTTCTGTTATCAAGAGATAAAATATTGTATTTGTTATATTGGTGCTGTCGATATTTAGTATTAAAGCAAATAACTATAGATTTTCTACATTAAAAAAAACCTTTTGCATTACAAATAATGTTTTTAAATCATTAGATCAGTAAATTATTCATCGGTAGAAGTACTTTAATGTAACAAAAAAATCTATATATAAAAGCGAAGAAAAAGTAACTAAGACATAACATGGGAGTTCAAGTTTTTATTTCTGAACTTAATTTATTATATAATAGATATTAATATTTTTTTCTTTTGATTTGATGTGTCTTTTGGAATTATCTTTTATTATGTATGAAAAAGAATATTTCCAGAAAGTATTCTCACACCTGTATATAAATATAGAACACAAAATATACGAAAACATTTCCAGAAATGATGAGATAGATTAGATATAACAAAAGTCCAGGGGCGTGGACGCATACCATTGAAATATTAAAGATAAATATTATATGTAGAAAAAAATAAAATTTTATGAATCATCGCTCACAATTGTGGTTGTTTTTCAATTTACAAAACAAAGTAACATTCTCATTGTGTATATACATATATATTTCTATGCACTTGTGTAAACTGATGTACAATCGAAACTATTTACTTTTGGAGAAAGTTTTAATTTACCTAAATAGTCAGCATTTAACGACACACAAATAAAAAAAAACACTTTTGTTATTTAAATATTTTATTTTTTGTTATAAATATAATTACTATTCAAGACTTCTTTTAAAAAATAATTTTAAAACGTTTGTGAGAAACAATAATTTTGTAAAATCAGTATTATTTTAATACATATACATATATTACACATTTACGCATATACAAATGATAGTACAAAATTTATTTATTTTAAATAATTATCACTCAACTACTATTTTTAAGTTTCAAAAATTGGTTTTGAATCAAATTAAACCGTCTCTCAATTTCTTGTAAGTTGCACGAGTTACGTTCAGAAGACACATTCAAATTTAAAGATGTCTGTTTTAAAGTTCAAAATTAATATTCAATATTAAAATTATAAATCGTTGATACAGAACCTTTTTAATATTATGCTTAAGACGATCCCTTTCTTCAGATATTCTTTTAATATCATCAGCATACTTTTGTGATAATGACTGACATTTTGGTTTCATATTTTGCATTTGAGCAAGTAGTGTTATATCTTCATCTCGCATCTGTTCTTCAGCTATCATTAACTGCGTACGGTCTCTTAGTTTCTATAGTCATTAAAAATATTTCTTCAATTTACTATTATTTATATAAATACTCAAACCTCTGTTTCAATGTTGTGCCATAATTGATCCAACTCCTTTTCCGTTTCGATTGCTTTCTTTCGTTGTTCAGATTTTTTCATAGTTGCTATTACTTTTCCTCTACGATTACGTAATTCTTTCTGGTAAAGAAGAACAATTTTGTTCTGATAAGCTATACGTTCTTCCTCACGTTTTAATACATCGAGATACAGTTTCTCCATCTCTGGAACAATATATTAAAATTAGTCTTACTTATGAAAAATGAAATTTTTTTTACTTTTAACATCATTTTTGTTATACGATATAAACAACAATCTAGAGCAGGGCTGTCCAGACTAGATGCGATCGCGGGTTAATACAAATT